CAGGGGGATGATCACAGCACAGTCCCTCCTCCATTCTCCTCTCAGGATCTTGGGCATGCATGCACACACGCCTAGCATGAGTTTTAAGTCACCGGGTCCAGGACTCGAACTGTGGTCGACTACATGGGAGTCCAGCGATGTAACCATTATGCCATCTGCTGGTCCCTTGACTTAAGACTTTTCTGACTTTAGGATGGTACAAGAGAGACAAACACTCAATAGGAACCAGGCCTTGTGCATCCAGACGGCCACTCGGTTTTCACGGGCAGACCAGTATTCAATGAACTAGATGCAATATCGAACACTTCGTTACAAACCGAGCTTTGTGTTACATGATTCTGCCCAACTTAGCCTAGTGGTAACTGTGAGGAGCCTTTTTTATCTTTTTCGTAATTTCTGATGTAAATATTATTGGTGTGCATCTTTGCAGGCAGGCTACGCTAAGCTGTGAGGTTTGGTGGGTGAGGTGTATTAAATGTGCTTTTCAAGTTAACGATATTTTCAACTTAGGATGCGTTTATCAGGATGGCACCCCACTGTAAATTGAGGAACATCTGCGTTGCTATGACTACCGTTCTCCCAGGGTCTTGTGGGGGAAGGAACAATGAGATAAAAGTTAAGAAATCTTTTTTTTTTTTTTTTTGCCATACATGTGTTCATTTGAGAGAGACAGACAGACAGACAGACAGAGAGAGAAAGAAATCACTCCCTATCTCTGGGGAGATGGCCACTGTAGTTCCTTCTCCATTTTCCTCTTGGGATTTTGGACATGCACGCACACAAGTGGCCAGATCCAGGCCTCGTCTGAGCCGGCCCTGTGGATTCCAGCTGCCTGGACCTCCGTGCCGCCTGACCTCATGAGACCAGTTTCAAACCTAAGGATGGTGAATCACAGGGCTGAGAATGGCAACGCCTGCCTCTGACCCACTCGGGTCCCCTCCCTAGTCCCACTCTCGACGCGGGCCAACAGGCCTTCCCAGGCACCCAGACTCCTGCTCCAAACACACCCGCCCACGCCCAGTGGCCCTGCACGCACCCTCAGGCCGCTCGCCGCCATCTCCACGCATGCAGTCCCCTCATCGTAAAGTCACGTGTCCTGGGAACACCCACCTGTCGCCTGACCACTGCTCTAGCCCCTGCTGTTCCCGAGTGAGGACATGGCGCCTCCTCCCCACCCCTGCCCCGAGCTGCAGTCCGAGGGGACCCCTTTCATTCTCTCCCACGCCACACCCTTCTGTCAATTAACCCTGTTTGGGGCCAGCCTCGCAGACCAGTAGTTAAGGGGGCCAGATCCCACATGGCCGATGACACAGTCAAATCCCAGCCCCAGAGGTTCGAGAACACTCTCTGCATGTGCGTGCATGCCCCAAACACCAACAGGCTGGAGAAACGGAGAAGAGATGGCAGTGTGACCAAACCCTGTTGGGGGTGCTTCCCCCCGACCCCCGTGTCTGTCTCCCTCAGAGAGCAGCACGCATCTTCTGGCAAATTAAAATTTAAAAATCCTGTTTGGCTTTGCCTAGAAAATAATCCTTTACCATCGCTCATTCTAAGCTACATTGTTTCTGGCCTGGTTATTGCGGGGGCGCCCTCACTGGTTTTTCTACAGTTCTCCATTTTAAAGAATTAATTTCATTTATTTATTATTATTTTAATTTGCTATAGGGCACATGCACTCACCAGAGAGACAGAAAGTGAGAAAGCAAGCTGCCAGCTCTGGGACTTGAACCATGGACAGCCATGTGGGAGTCCAGCGCCTTAACCACCACGCCGCCTGCAGGTCCTCAGAAGTGCTCCTGAACATCCCTGAAGCCCTCCTGTCCTTCTTAAAACAGACTTTTAAGTCCCTGACACAGCAGTCCTGGCTCAGCTGCCACCTCGTCCCGTCTGCCACTGTCCCCTCCTCCCCACCTGCGCGCTCTGCTCTGCTGTATGCAGCTCAAGCACCCGGTCTCCTCTGCCTGCTCTGCCCTTCCGGGGATGGCCACCCCTCCCCTGCTCCATTCAGGTCCTTACTCCAATGTCGCAGTGTGGCAGAACCTCCACAAACACCCTCCCCATCACCCCGGCCCTTACGCAGCTTGGAGCCCCTTCACAGCCCCTCACGATCGCGCTGCTACCAACTAACTCTCCAACCGCCATCGAAGCTGCCAGCAGCCGGGGACTGCGTCTGCTTCCTCTCCTAGCACAGCGCCTGGCACACGTGGGCGCTCCGTAAATATCCACTGCAAGGGGGAAGGAAGGGTGCCACCCGCAAAGGCGTACACCCCTTCCGATGAGCCTGCGGTGGCTTTGGGAGTGCAGTTACTACTCTCTGCTAGTAAGACCTCGGAGGGCAGGGGCTGGATTCCCGCAGTGACGAGCACATGACATGCTCAGGAAACACCCGTGCCCTTAGCTAAAAACGCGTGCGTGATCCGTGCTGGGAGTCTGCTGGGATCCAGAAACGGCTTTTGCATCTTACACCCGAGCTCTACTCTAGATAAATCTGTACAACCCTGAGTAAGGTGGACTCCCAGGGGGCAGTGTGTGTCCCATAGCATCTGCAGAGACGCACACAGAGAGCCTGGCCAGCCTCACCGAACCCATCCCCATCGGGCTGCTGGTCCCTCCTACCCCGTCAGGTGCGCGCAGGCTGACTCAGCAGAAGGCTCCGATGACGACTGACGACGGAGCAGCCTGGGCTGGCAGGGGGGCTCGGGGATGCTCCCTGTCTGAGCTCACTGGGCTGTGCCCTCTGTGGGGTCCGACCTTTAACCTATAACAGGTCGTAAAACATCACATGCTGTGTCCAGTGGCGGGTTTTCCTCCTGAAGGAAGCCAGCCGTGCGAAGGTGCCAGACCCCTTCCATGGGTCCTGGAACGCCCTCCCTCCCTGCCACTCCCGGGCATGTGACTTCCTCACAGGCTAGGGGAGCAGCCAGTGCTAAGCAAGCAGCTCTGACCCCGAGTTGCGGGGGCGCCCTCACTGGTTTTTCTACAGTTCTCCATTTTAAAGAATTAATTTCATTTATTTATTATTATTTTAATTTGCTATAGGGCACATGCACTCACCAGAGAGACAGAAAGTGAGAAAGCAAGCTGCCAGCTCTGGGACTTGAACCATGGACAGCCATGTGGGAGTCCAGCGCCTTAACCACCACGCCGCCTGCAGGTCCTCAGAAGTGCTCCTGAACATCCCTGAAGCCCTCCTGTCCTTCTTAAAACAGACTTTTAAGTCCCTGACACAGCAGTCCTGGCTCAGCTGCCACCTCGTCCCGTCTGCCACTGTCCCCTCCTCCCCACCTGCGCGCTCTGCTCTGCTGTATGCAGCTCAAGCACCCGGTCTCCTCTGCCTGCTCTGCCCTTCCGGGGATGGCCACCCCTCCCCTGCTCCATTCAGGTCCTTACTCCAATGTCGCAGTGTGGCAGAACCTCCACAAACACCCTCCCCATCACCCCGGCCCTTACGCAGCTTGGAGCCCCTTCACAGCCCCTCACGATCGCGCTGCTACCAACTAACTCTCCAACCGCCATCGAAGCTGCCAGCAGCCGGGGACTGCGTCTGCTTCCTCTCCTAGCACAGCGCCTGGCACACGTGGGCGCTCCGTAAATATCCACTGCAAGGGGGAAGGAAGGGTGCCACCCGCAAAGGCGTACACCCCTTCCGATGAGCCTGCGGTGGCTTTGGGAGTGCAGTTACTACTCTCTGCTAGTAAGACCTCGGAGGGCAGGGGCTGGATTCCCGCAGTGACGAGCACATGACATGCTCAGGAAACACCCGTGCCCTTAGCTAAAAACGCGTGCGTGATCCGTGCTGGGAGTCTGCTGGGATCCAGAAACGGCTTTTGCATCTTACACCCGAGCTCTACTCTAGATAAATCTGTACAACCCTGAGTAAGGTGGACTCCCAGGGGGCAGTGTGTGTCCCATAGCATCTGCAGAGACGCACACAGAGAGCCTGGCCAGCCTCACCGAACCCATCCCCATCGGGCTGCTGGTCCCTCCTACCCCGTCAGGTGCGCGCAGGCTGACTCAGCAGAAGGCTCCGATGACGACTGACGACGGAGCAGCCTGGGCTGGCAGGGGGGCTCGGGGATGCTCCCTGTCTGAGCTCACTGGGCTGTGCCCTCTGTGGGGTCCGACCTTTAACCTATAACAGGTCGTAAAACATCACATGCTGTGTCCAGTGGCGGGTTTTCCTCCTGAAGGAAGCCAGCCGTGCGAAGGTGCCAGACCCCTTCCATGGGTCCTGGAACGCCCTCCCTCCCTGCCACTCCCGGGCATGTGACTTCCTCACAGGCTGGGGGAGCAGCCAGTGCTAGGCAAGCAGCTCTGACCCCGAGGGCCACTTAGACCTTGAGATATCCGACCTCTGAAAGGGACACTACTTGACAGGGAGGGGTTCGACAGCAAAAGCCGGCGGTCAGGCTGGATCCGAGGGTGCCCTGCAGTAGCCGTCCCATTAGGAAGACAGAAACGCAAACAGGTCTAAGAAAAGGAAGCGCTCTGAGCTTGGCAGGCCCCCAGAGACTACTCAGACCCTCGCCCCCATGCATGGCTTCGTTTGCCACCATCGGCACACACACCGACGTTGAAACTGCCCCAGTCGGCACTCGGGGAGCAAACGCCTCCTGCACTCCTTCACTGCTTCCCTCTGCCTCCATGCAGGCCTCCGCCTCCATGCAGGCCCTACGGCTTCGTTTCTGTAAGTCCACAAGACAGGTGTGAGCTGGGCCACCCGTGGTACACCTGCTAGTGCCTCGTGGGAGATGAGAGCTCCCCAGTGTACTGGCTCACCCCGCAGTTCCCTCAGGGACTAGGCTCAGCCTACTTCGGGTTGGCCCAGTGTCTCCTGAGCCTGACTTTCCACCATGCTCCCTGGTACGCTTCAGCGGGCCCTGTCTCAGCTCCATCCTTGCTCACTCAGCGTGAGACCTCGGTGGCCTCCTGCCTTCGGACAATGAATTCAGACTCATTCGCGGCATCAGACACCGACCGCGGGCGAATCCTGGCCATACCTTCATGAAGAACAGCCTCCGACAGTTCTTGCCCCGGTCACTCCCAGCCACCGGGGCTTGTGCCGCCTCAGAGGCCAGCGCTGGGGCAGGGACGCTGTTGGACCCGGCCTCCGACGTGTCTGCCAGCTGCACGGAGGAGTGGACAATTCCCTCCTTGCCCTGGGCCAGGGAAATCTCAAAGGGGTCTGGGTATTTCTCATCGGGGCTAGAGCCATCGTCGCTGGTCTTGGCATTGCAGAGGATCAGGGAGCGGGAGATGGACCGGAACTTCGCAGATTTTCGACCCTTTCCAGAGCGGCTGTGCGGTTCCATCCTCAGAGCGGAAGTAAAGCTGCCCTTCTTCCTGTCCTGGTCTCGGGCCCTGGGCTGGCGGGTGGCGACTGGATTGTGCTTTGCTGCCACTTCCTGGGTTCCTGGAAGGAAGAGGAAATGAGAAGATGCATGTGACGTGCTGCTGACCGTGGAACTGGACACACGTGCTGGACCAGAGCCGTGGTGCCCGTACCCCGTACCCCTGAAGCGGACAGCAGGGCAGGTCATCCTTCGGGGTCACCCAGGGCTCAGTTAACACAAGCAGGGAACGCCCCCTCCATCCCCAGGCTCATAAAGACCCAGTCACAGCAGTTCTTGTGTACCAAGTCGCACTTTACAGACAGGGAAACTGAGGCACGGACGGGGAAGTGGCGCCCCAATTACAGAAGATCCGTGTATCAGAGTCCCAGGAGGAAGTTTAGGGATGGGAGAGACCAGTGCTCTGTGAGGTTATTGAACTTGGGAGCCATCCTTCAAATAAACATTTCCAGGGAAGGGCCAACCCCCCCAGGGCAGTGGGTAAGCCCTGTGCACTGGGAGCTGGACCCCACATGGCTGACCGCGCCTTGAATCCTGGCCCCGGTGGTTTGAAAGACACAGCAGGCACATGTGTGTGCACGCCCACGATCCCAGTGGGGTGGAGAAATGGTGCCAAGGGGAGCGCGACATGACCATGCCCCACTGGGGGGGCGACTTCTCTCTCTCTCTGTCTCTCTCCCACGCACACACACGCTCTAGCAATTTTTATTGCGGAGGATTAAAAAAGGGAAAACTAAGTTCACAGGGAACTAGAGTCGACAAAGCAGACCGAGAGAGAAAGAGGGAGGACCCAGCGGCACCCGCCTGGGCCCCTCACCAGCTCAGTAACCCCTGTAGCAGCCAGACAGGAAACCCAGGATCCAGGAGCTCCGTCAGAAGACCATGGATGCCTTCTGTCCCCCTTCACAGGGGAAGACCCCAAGACTAAAGGTTGGGCGCCCCGCCCGACGACCTGCAGGGCTGATGTGAGTAGAAAAAGCAAAGCTTGCTAAGAGCCTGATGGAGTGTCTGGCAGGACACGGCTCTGGGCAAACATGCGTGCCCTTCCCGGACCCAGGCCCCACACTGGGCAGTGTCCTAGCCAGGCCTGATGTGCCTGCAACATCCCCCATCCCCACTGCATCACAGTCCTAGCAGCAGCAGCATCAAACCAGCAGCATCTCCTGCAGCCCAGCCTGGCCCACTGAGCCTCTCCAAGACGTGCCTCCGTGGGTTCAGTTTCCAGGGGCAGGGGGTGAGAGGGGCGTTGGTGCTCATCCAAAGAAGTCAGACGCCAGTCCAAGCCACACACAAAGCCCGTTGCCAGAACAAATAACTGTGGGACTCTTGGCCCACTGGGACTGCTCTGGGCACATCAGAATCGAGGAAGGGGGGCAGTGGCCTTCCGATTACGTGTCACTCAGACACCCTCCGCGTAGCCCTCCAAAGAGGATTTCCTAAGTCAGGCTGTGTTTTTCATTCTTTCTTTTTTTTCCTTTTTTGAAGAGAGGAATTTTTGCTATAGGGCACATGTGCTTGCCAAAAAGACAGAGGAAAACAGAGAGACCGAAAGCAAGAAATCACCCCCCCCAGGGGGCATGGCCACACTGCAATCCCTTGTCTTCCCTTTTCCTCTTGGGACTTTGGGCACGCACGCACATGTGCCTGGCGTGAGTTTAAGCTGCCAGGTCCAGGACTCAAACCGCAGTCGACTACATAGGAGGTCAGCGACATCATTTTCAATACCCAAATTGCACAGATTTATTCATTTCTGCGTTAGCCATTTAATTTTATCGGTTTATTCACTAACCATGTACAGCAACTAAGGGCAACGAATTAAAATGAATGAATGAATGCTGTAAAGCCTGCTCTATATCAGATCCCATGCCTGAAGCTTTCGTGTGTCAAATATTAAGAACTCAGTGTTGTGGGGTCGGCAGGTGGCGTGGTGGTTAAGGGCGCTGGACTCCCACATGGCTGACCATGGTTCGAATCCTGAACCTGGAGGCTTGCTTTCTCATTCCTCACTTCCTGTCTCCATCTCTGGAAATATTTTTAAAATAATAATAATAAAGTTAAATAAAAAATTATTAAAAAAAAATAACTCAGTGTTGGTCCATTTCATCAAAAACCTCCTGTCAATATCCTGAAGCCTAGTATTCTATGTTCTCCCATCTCAAATGAAAGTAAAACTCCAACCATAGGAGCCAGCAGATGGCGCAGTGGTTAAGGCACTGGACTCCCATGTGGTCAACCGCAGTTTGAGTCCCAGACCAGGCAGGTGGAAAATCATGCCTGGGGACCAGCAGTTGGCGTAATGGCTATGTCACTGGACTCCCATGAAGTCGACCATGGTTTCAGTCCTGGCCCCGGTGGCTTAAACTCATGCCAGGCGCGTGTGCGTGCGTGCCCAAGATCCCGAGAGGAGAATGGAGGAGAAGGGATTGTGGTGTGGCCATCCCCCCTGGGGGGTGATTTCTCGCTTTCTGTCTCTCTGTCTGTCTGGTGAGCGCATGCGCCCTATAGCAAAAACCTCTCCAAAAAAAAAAGAAGAAGAAGAAAAGAAAATCATGCCTGGAGCGTGTACCCAAAATCCCAGGAGGAGAACAGTCCTGGAGGAGAGGGGATGGCATGTGGACGTCCCCATGTCACCCTGGGGGAATGATTTTTCAATTTCCTATTCACCGTCTCTCTCCAGCAAGTGCAAGCACCCTATGCCAAAAACCTTAAAAACAAAAACAAAACAAAACAAAACCATTACAGATTAAAGCAGTCCTCTGCCAAGTGTCATGCCCGATCACGGGTTTCTGAGGCCGGCAGGAGGTACTCACTGCTAAACAGAGGGGTCTGGTGAAAGTCACCCCTCAGCGGGGCCCCGCGGGGCCCATGACGGTGCTGCAGTGTCGTCACGGGCTTGCCCTCCATCCCCAGCAATGTCTACCTCAAACCTTCCCAAAGGCGGCCCAGACACTAGTCCAATTGCTTTCCCTTTGAGTTCTTGTCAGCCATCGCAGCTGCCATCAACAGCCTCATGATGAGGAGTGAGGCACAGAGAGGTTAAGCTACTTTCTCAAGATCACACAGCCAGGACTCGGAAAGCAGAAGTAACTCCAGAGCCTGCGCGCTTTCCCCTGGCTTTACACTGCCGTTCATTAATGCTTCTCCCACCTCCAGCCTCAGCCTCTCCCTCTGTGCCGGCTCTTTATCGCCAGCACGTAAAGACACTCACATCCTTCCTGTCTTTGACGACTCAGTGTCCACTCCAGATCCCGCGTTACTCGCCCTTCTTACGACCCCTTTCGGATCTTCTTGAACGCAAGTCCCACACTCCACGCTCTCCCTCCTGGGCCCACCTCCTCCTGGAGTCTCAGCCAGAGTGCTCTTCCTTCCCCGAAGCACCGACACCCCGTCTAGTCAGTTCTGGATCCTACGTGCCCCAAAACCAGGAACCTGAAGTCCGGAGGGCGTGTTGGGCTTGGCTGAACCCTGCTTCGTTTTAAGAGGGCGCAAGAACCAGACACCGGTGCCCAGATCTACTGGCCGGAGCAAGCACAGAGTTCGAGCTATGAGGGTTCTTTTTTCTCGTTAAACCCCTTCATTCCCAGATGCCGCCTTGCAGATCCTAAGTATGAATGCCCTCCTCCTGCCACCAGCCTCTAACACAGGCGTGCGCTCCTTTGCACTGGGACAACTCGGCTTCCCAGAACAAGTGACACTGACGCCAAGGTCGCTATAATATCACTGTATTCAAACCTCCTTGCACCTTGATCGGGCTCCGTAGGACTCTGCAGGGTTCGTCTAGCACTCGAGGAGGAGGAAGTCAGTGTGCGTGGGTGTGCGCGCGCACAGGTTGGGCCCAACTAGCGCTGGACCACGGAAAGTTCGCAAGATAATTTGTGTTAAAATCCTTCTGGGCCATCGCTAAACGGGGAGCTCCTGAGGGCCACCAGGTAGAGATCACCCTCACAAAAAGGACAGCGGTCACAGAGGTGGGGAGACGGATGGAAAGAGGAGGAAAACAGGAGGAGACGGAGAGAAACAGTGAGAGACGCCGAGTCCTGATGTTATCAGCGTTACCGGCCAACGCGGCCCACCCGCTTTTCCTTGCGGTCAGGGAAACGAGAGGAAGGGAGTTTGGAACCAGTCAGCAAACACCATCAAACTGTCTCGAAAAGCTCAACACGCCCCCAGCATTTATGGATGCAAGGTACAAACACGTACAAATCATTCCTCACCACGGTCAGTCAGTTGATGGCCTTCCCTTGGGTAATTACCCCGATTCCTGTTTCACTTCAACGACCCATTCCTGGTTTCTCATCGAACCACTCCTCAAATCGACCTCCCCATGGCTCAGCCCTAGGTCAGATTGTTCTCATGAGAGGCCTTTCTGAATTTCAAAATGGCTGCAGTCCTGCTAACCCTCAAGCCGGCCTTCTTTGGTGTGAGCACCTGGATGCAGCCATGCCTGAAACTACATCTATGTATTCGGTTATGTGAACCAACCGAGTTCTCTTTTAACTTTAAGAAAAAGTCCTCCTGGGATAGTTCTCCTCACTGATGCTGTTGGCATAAGGCACAGAAAACGGTGACATCAAAAGATCAAGAGGGCTTTTGAGGACCAGCAGTTAGCGTAATGGCTATGTCGCTGGACTCCCATGTAGTCAACCATGGTTTGCGTCCCGGACCCAGTGGCTTAAACTCACGCCGGGCATGTGTGCGTACATGCCCAGGATCCTGAGAGGAGAATGGAGGAGAAGGGATTGTGGTGTGACCATCCCCCTTGGGGGCTGATTTCTCACTTTCTGTCTCTCTGTCTCTCTCTGTCTGTCTGGCGAGCGCACGCGCCCTATAGCAAAAACCTCTCCACACACACACAAAAAAAAAAAAAAAAAGAAAGAAAGAAAGAAAGAGGGCTTTTGAAACTGTTGCTTATCTTACCTCAAGCCTAAGAAAGAAGCCAGTCACCCCCGGCCAAGGCCTGAACATTGCTGTCCACACCGCAGTGCCGGGATCTGCTATGAGAGGCTCGCGCAGTCCTGTCCACCGGGCACTGCCATGTCTGCATGGATTCTTGGACTGGAAC